GGAGGGAGTTGTGGTTGCTCGTGAGAGTGCTCAATACACCAAGGTGCAGAGCCTAGTACACACACCTGAGAGGGATCAAAAGCGTTTCTTCTGTAACTCTGAGTTTCACGGTTATAACCGATCATCAGACAGCAACTTGACTACAATTTTCAGAAGATAAGATTGATATAGGCTGCAAACTTGGATCATAGCGCGAATGGATGATCCGGGCTGATAGTGTAAAAAATATGAAAATGATTGCGTGAGTTGGTTGATGGGGTGCAAAAATAAATTGTATTGTACATGACTGTATTACCAAGGCCATGGCCCCTGGCCACTGGCCCAAGTGTTATGTACTTGTGACTACTTCCAGCTCTTCGTCGTACTACTTGAAGTGCACCCCTAGGCCCTCTCAACTCAATTCAAGTTAATTTAAAAATAATTGTTTCAACCTCAATAGTCCAAGGACGATACTGTTTTGTACGCGGGTGCCAGTACTACTACTACTACTTGTACAATCTCTTGGTAGACTCACTCAGATACAATGTACATGATGATGATGATGTATAATTATCGTGTTACTGTTACAACCGCACTATCATGTATATCGGTAGCTGTGCTGGTCTCAGGTAGTAAACTCAGTGTACCAGGTGTACGGTGACCATACCAAAAGAAATTTTAAAGAATCGACAGCATGCTAGCATCAGCAACAGACTCAGTGACACCTCACATCAAGAGTACATAACCCCCTTGCTCACATGCATTTGGCACAACATACAGGTACATGTACACGCAATGAACAAGCATACTTGTTTTTAGTCTTAAATATTACATAGACTTCCCTCAGTTCCCTGCTGAGATCAAGGTCGCAAGCAGCACTGCTATATTACTACGTAACAGTTACATTGTACATGATGTACATGGCGTCCGGAGACCACTGCAGTAATAATAATAATAATATATATTATGTCATGTATTTGACCATATCCGAGCGTGGGCAGGACACCTCAATCACGCTCCCAAACACCGATAATTGCCACTTGCCAGCACCGCCACATCACATACTTAGTCACTATCCTTGCTCAGTCTTTGTAAGGTGGATATCGGAATGAGTGAGTGCACTTCAGTTCCCGAGTCCAGAACTGCAGAGTGCAATCATCAGCTCAGGCGCAAGGGAGCCAGCTTGGCAGACGAGAACCACAAACACGGAAGAGACAGCACAATGTATTATCAGGCCATCATACCAGTGCACTGAGTTATAGCAGAATGTTGTAACTTGTAATGACTATGTACATGTAGCTCGTAAGTGCCAATGACCTTGAATGACGCAGCATTCGCCAGGATCAATGTGATAAAATAATTCTATTGCAAATACTGTAGCGACAAATAAGAACATGCTTGGTAAGTTAGTTGTTTAGCTTAGTTTGTTGCTAGCTGCAGGCATGATTGATCGGTAGGCTACAGTGCTGCTGTTCAGATGCAGCTCACCGACTGTTTCATCATCACTATTCCGTATTCGTTTCACTTTTCTTTGAAGCTGGGTGACACACCCTCTAGAAACCAGCAAAATTTTCAGTTGCCAAAATGTCCTCTTCATGCACATTGCAGCAGTAAATCAGATATTCTAATCCAGCACCCTCCCTAATCCAGTAGAATTTCCGTAGCACAAATGGTGCCGGATTATCATAGTTATAGCCTATTTTTATAGGATCACTGTACTAAGAAGTCTGCCTGCGGCATACATGTACATGACACACAGTGCACCTGAAGGAGGTGAAACCCATACGGGACCAAAGGCGAAAATACGTACAGCAATTTGTCAGCAATAGGGGTAAGCGGATTATGCTCGGGAAATGACCAGATTATGCTCTAGCGGATGCTCTAGCGGATTATTATTATTATTACCGGTATATGCATTTCCGCGGCAATGTCAGCCGCACAATGGCAAGTTGGCAACCCACATATTCGCATATGCCGGAAATAGAATGTTCTGCCAAAAACATAAATCAAATGTCATATGACATCATAATAAATAATGTACATGTATGTGTTATTAGCCGAGTATCAGGCTGATATCTGCCCGAACGGCGTCAGTCGTGAGGGCAGAAGAACATCTAGGTAATCGTCATGAAAAAAAAGGACTCAGACCATTGTCATGATGTGGACTGGGAGCTTTGTGGAAGCACAAGAAAATACTAATTATGCAAGAGGAATACCAAATTCACTAGCAAACGCTGAACTTTTGGGAGATGTCCTGTAGTGGCTGCTAAATTATTATTCCAAATCGACAAGAAGCGCTATGTATGGTCCTTCAATAGCAGGTGTGTACATGTACATGTACATGTATATAACAGCCTCATTGGGCATCTGCCCTTGTTTTTCGGATGCCATTTATGCTCCTTTTCAAAAAGGACCTGATGTCAGAGGCCAAAAATTATGCCTTCAATAGCAGGTGTGTATAACAGCCTCATTGAGCATCTGCTCGTGGTTTTCGGATGCCATCTTATGCTCCTTCTGAAAAAGGACCTGATTATGCCAAAAATTATGCCCGCATAATCCGCTTACACAGTACCCCTAGTGTCTAGTGACTTGCACAATGCTCAATGACGGAGATCTACCGGTGCCACCCACTCACCAGTACTCTACGAGCGCACGTCCTGCCTTATTCCTGGCCTGGTACTCGTTAGGCCTTGACATGCCAATATTTTCGTGAAATTATGCTTTTCGCATTGCTGAAAAAATTGCAGAATTATGCTATTTTTATGCTAAAAGTTATCATATTATGCCGCATTGTGCTCACATATATGCTGCTAATGTATATGATGGTTCTGTGCAAAATAACAGGTGAATTTTTTTGTAGAGGGCGTTGTACATGTACTGTAGTAGCAAAAGTAAGTTCAATGGGGTCAACGCACCGTCCGACCTAGCTACGACCGTCACCCTGGTCACTGATTGTAGTGGACTGGACATGTTATCAAGGGAGTCGAAAACCTACGACTTTCTGGTGCATCTACTTGTACTTGTAGAACATGTACAACTGTATGGAATTTGATGCGAACAGGCGGATTATTCCAATTTTATGTGATTCGTATGGAATTTGCCACGAATTATGCGATTATTCGATTTGGTAGGAATTATGCGAAAAATTATGCTAGCATAATCTGTCAAGGCCTAGTACTCGTACCACTACAGTACTACCAAGAGTACATAATGGTTACATACAAAGACTTTCTTTTAAAGTCATGTACACTTGGTATTACCAAACAGTATTTTCCCTTTTTTTTTTGGCCTAACTCAGAAGTTTACTGAAGAAGTTTAGTTCAGTGAGGAGTCATCTCATTTTTGACAACAAACTGGGTAAACCTGGGTGATACACGGGATGAAGGGCTTGAAGAGTGCAAGCAAAGAAAGCAATAGACAAATCTGGCACTACCAAGCTAACTACACTGTACACTGTCACTGTGCTAGTACATCACTACATGATTGTATATTTTAAAAAGTGACAATAAACATGAGGTCGCATTCACACTAGTACTTGAAAACGTAAAACAACTATTAAAAAAATAGTCAATGAATAGGCTAGAACTTAGAAGTACAATGTAGAAGTAGAACTAGAAGTACATGTGGTAGACCTACCGGAAAGTGCAACATAACCAAGATCTGATGGCTACAGACTAGCTCTACATGTAGCCGCCACTACTAGTACTACTGTACTACTACTAGGCAGTAGAACTACTGTTGTAGCTTTCTACGTAGAAGCATCTCGACGATTCTTCACACATCCTTACACAAGCAGCCATGTACAGACTGTCAGTCTGTAGATTATTTTTCTGTCTGCAGACTGTGCTGATGAAGTACGCGGGAGCCGTGCATTCTTCATACACATGTACTGCCTACTACTGGCTCTCTACTGACTGACTGTCGACATGATGCAATACAGTCTCACACACACATAATTACCAGGCATGATTACAGACTTGACTTCAGTCAGTAGGTTTATGGTTTACTTGCCCTTGCCTTGGAGTTGGACTTGTTGGAGTTGGACCGCTCTGTAGAGGGGACGGTTTCAAATAGGACACCGGTTGCAAACCGGAACGGACTCAATATTCACTTTCTCTCTTGGTATTTTGATTAGAAAACATATGTCACAGTGAGACTACGATGTGTTATACTCCGAGCCAAAATTTCATGGCTCTGCGATGACCAGAAGCGCCATATCAAGCAGGTGAGTTTTTGACGTGTTGCTTCGCACTGCGACTTGAGTTTTACGACTTTCGAAAAATCAACTTCTTGTCGCAGGTAAACAGCGGCTCGCTTCTCGCCAATAAAGCACCGCATACCAATCAAAACTAATGGAAGCACACACAAGGCTTATTGTTACTCTGTACTGGCCGTCGTGGAGCGATAGCAATTACCTAATTTCAGACCCAGAGTGAATTTGACGTGCACTCTAAAACGTGTCCGGTTTGGAGCCACCTCTGATTTGAACTTTTTTGAAGCGAAAAATTGGGCAACTTGGAGGCAATGGGTCAACACAAAGGAGTGGCTCAGTTCGATTGACTCTGGCCCCAGAGCAAACTTCAACATGCCAGTTTCCTTCCACAAACATATTTCGAGTGAAAAATCAACGCTGATGATCGGTTTGGGTCTATACAAATTTGGCTGTCAAAACGTCCCGGTATCGAGCCGTCCCCTCTACTATACTGTACTACATGTACTGTAGTATACCGGTATCATAAGATTCATACTACATGACTTGTGCTACTGTACTAGAACTACTTAGAAGAGCACTGCATCATGTGCGTGAGTCAGATGACTGCTGACGTGAGATCATGTATCAACGTCCGTGACTGGACTGTCTGTGGCGTTCAACACATACCAGGCAGGGAAAGCCGCGCTGGGTCCCGATTCCCGATATCGCCGCATATTCCGTGCTGTTCTGTACCATATCTGTGGCAGTGTGGGCCGGTTCGGATCCGAATAGACATCTCTCATGTACATGTGACACTGGCTAGTCAGTCGTAGTAGTCGACTATGAGTCGCTCGTTGTATCGACAGGTCATCAGGCGATCGTGCGTGAGCAAAGAAAGAAGCACTGTAGATTGTTTTTGTTCTGGTGTTAGAGACGTGTTTCCCCTACAGTGCCAACACTGCAACAGGCGATTGGTGTAAGTGAAATATATTCTCCAGGACAGCGCCTACCGCTCTTCTGCGCTTTGCACTGTGTTTCTTTCCTGTGAGAACGCCTGAACGGAGGAGAGCTCCAGCTGCTCGAAAATGACACCGGCCAGTCGTGCAAAGCATTTGCTGATTGCTTTCGTAGCGGTCCTGCAACTGACAGGTAAGTCTCTAATCCACAACGTACATGTCGTCGTTACTTAGCCGTCTCTCTCTCTTTCTTTGGAAGCGGAGCGAAAGCTCAGAGTTCGGAGGCGATGTGATCTTCGTGTCTGGTTGTGTTCTTGTTCTCTTTGTGTCAGCGCGTTGCTTTAGTAGAGGGCGTTGATAGCTGAATGTTGTGAAAATGCCTGCTGACCAGTAGCGAACTTTGAAATTAGACATGGTCTTTGCCGGGACGCTCGCCCTGGTCGTAATTTTCGGACAAGTCAATGACAATGAGGGATAGGATTTTACGATCCTGACCAATCCGGGCAGGAAGAATTATTTGGATAAAGAACCACTGCCTGGTACCCATGTCCATGATCAATGAAGTTATCGAGGCTTCATTATGTTGGCCTGATGGACCATGGTGGACTCCGGAGACGATGAATGCAGACCCTACTCCTTTACTTTGGCCTCTCCTGGGTCGTGGCTCTGTTGTTGATCACTGTGTTGTCGAAGTGTTCCGTGGTTCACCTCTCGTCGAGTGTCAAAGCCTCCAGCTGGTGATCTCCGTAACTGCTCGGCACACGGATGTTCGCGATTGCGTATTTGTTACGAATTTCCACATGTGCATGCCACGTCTATGAGCTACTACTAGTACTCGACGTAACCACATGCAGTTACTATTTTCTTGGAATACATCCCCAGGCATATTGCAGGCAGGAGCTTCGAAAAATTCAGTTCCATAACAACACCTCGCAAACTCATTTTTATTAGGACACCCATTCTAGTTTTGGAAGATATCCCTTCCTATGTGTCATGTATTGCAAAGACAAAAGTTTGATAGCTGGCATCACGACCAGGCAGATATAATTATTATTTTTCATCTTCTGAGCATGAAATAATGTTCAGCAAGTGATCCTGGTATAATCAGGCATGGTGGTGGCCTGGCACAAGCGAAACTTCCTAAGCACTAAAAAAAATAACTAATATCTAGCCATCACCAGCTTATCCGCCGTCAACAGGAGCAAAGATTCAATCAGACTAAAGAAGAAAACTAGCTTCAGGTTCCTGGAAGGCCCCCGTGGCCTAATCCTCTTTTCGATAAATCAATAAGAATTGTGCATCCGAACTCCAAGGGACCGAAATGATACGGCCATACTTATGTTGCGAGTTTCAAGCGGCTGTTATAGTTTTGGTTGTACTAGTTGCAATTTCATGCTATGCAGCATTCACATAGCTATCTTCTTGTGCCATCCCAGCTACGCATGTGTTTACATTTATAATTTCACACTGTTTGGAAAAGAGCTTTGCTTTCGGTCGCTAAACTCAACACCCATGGCTAACAGTGACGAGCTGAATACAGTGATAATGGAGCATTCAGCTGAATACAGTGATAATGGAGCATTTCGAACCTTTTGATAAAGTACACATCAAATAGCCCAACCTGCCCCCGTTGCATGGGCGGCGCTTGTGTTCGATACAGGGGTGATTTTTAGGAAATACGGTACTTTCCTGGTGCCTGTTTATTATCCTCTCCGTCTATATACCAGCAGATCTATGAGTTAGATATCTAGCGGAAAGATAGCAGGGCCACTCGCATGGAGCAACACAGTTACCGGGGTCGTAGTGATGGGATGACTGTGGCAGCTGTATGGTAGCGCTACTGTGCTAGTGCCGTGCACTGAGTCTTGTCTGTGTTGGTATTATGCTGAGTGTGGAGTCGGATTTTGAAGTGTTCAGTAGTCAGTAGTATTGGTCAGTGATATCGTTTCGTGCCTGGAAATGAACAAGGCAGAGTTGCCGCACTTGATCTTGTGCACGTCCCCAGTGACCGCGCTGCTAACATTAGGGCTGTGCGGCTTCCAGCACTGCTTTCTTTGTGGTGCAGACTCTAAATCACTGACCGTGTGTGGCTGTGTGCTCAGTGTGTTGTACGCAGCGCACTGTCACTTGCTGTTCTGGCTGGCTTTTCCATGCGAAGAGCAGGGTTCAGGAAATGTGCACATGGTGTGGCAAAGTCTATGGTTACAATGATCCTGAAGTATGGCGGAAGCTGTGTGTGTGTGCCGGTGTGTGTGTGCCGGTGTGTGTGTGTGTGTGTGTGTGTGTGTGTGTGTGTGTGTGTGTGTGTGTGTGTGTGTGTACTGGAACTGTCCAGTACTGCCTCTGCTGCTGCTGCTGCTGCTGCTGCTGTGGAGACTGAGTATGAAAGACAGCCAGACTGAATTTTGTTGGTAACTGGAAATACCTCGAAGGGCGAAAGGGCTCCAGGAGCCTATCATGTAAGGTGATACATCCGGCAAGAGGATCACCAGCTGTGACGCATAGCAGTGCTCTGCACCTTGGCCTCATACCTCGTGTGTTGGAGTCTGGCTAGCAAAGGAAATCTAGCCTCTCGCCTTATGTTTGAGTCCGGCTTGCAAAGGAAATCTAGCCGGGCTCACGCCTCAGAGTCGTGTTGGAGTCTGGCTTGGGAAGGACGTATTGCGGGTGAAATGCAGTATCGCTTTCCAATTATTTCAACCTAGAGCGGCTTCGCACAAGAAGGAACATGTCTCTGACAAGATTCAACTTGCAGATAGCCAGCGCATCTAAGCAACTGTTGATTGCCTGAACGTTGGATCTTGTCAGGTGCTGGCCCATCCAGGCATGCCTAACCTGATCTCTCAGTGGAAGGTGATACTGTCGATCACTCGGGTCATTTCTCTCTAGCAGTGGGCAATCCACTCACATGTACGGATATGATGGTATGCAGTCAAGCAGATAGGCAGATAGTGCTGGTGCGACTGTTCATGCACTGTTCGTGCTTGATCACCTGGTCAACAGCCTGTGTGTGCGTTAGCCGTGTTTCTGTCCCTGCATGTCTCGGCTGGGCTGATAAAATTATATTCCACCTGGATGAGCGACGTAAATTTTAAGACGGACCATATTGGTTAGTAGACCTAGTCACGTATGGCATCGTACCCCAGGGCAGTAATACCGACTCACCTAACAGCTGGTCACGAGTAATCATGTCTACTGCGGTGCTGATGGGATTACGAACAGATGCTGCAGAAAGATCAGAGTTCATAATGAAGTCTGGGTTTCCGTTGCCGTATGATTACATAACAACACGACTGAGTAATTTGTTGGTTGTGGTGTGCGCTTGGCCTAGATCCGTTTACTTCAAAGCATTCAGTATCGATTGGCGTGTGACATGTTGACGGTTCTCTGCTATTACCATGTGGTGTGGTGCAGAGCTGCTGCAGAGGGCGGTTCAATAGAACGTGTTCCGTGTCCAGGCTCGAATGATACTCAGGTGTTTGCTTGACTGAATACATGTGCCGCATAGCGTATCGAGCAGATCGGTGCTCATAAGATCTACTAGTACGTGGGGTGCGCTTGGAAACTGTTCAACCAGCCTGGCCTCAGTGGAACAATCCTGCTTTGAACTAAGCATATAATATCATTCTGAAGCACATTCGACATGCATGGTTGTGCATATTTATGTGTGTGGGTGTGTACATGTCTGCGTGCATGTTATAATTAGTCCCGGCGTGTCTCAGTCCCACTGAATGCCGACCATGGGCTGTTTCATTGCCGTCCCACTGAGCTAGTCAGTCCATTCATGTGCTGCGCTGTTTCCACTGTCCATGCAGGCATTCTCGCTGGTAGCAGGGGCCATTGGGAATGTACAGCCACCGGCAGTGCCAACGGTCGCCTTAACATCCCCATTCAGTGGACGTGTGATCTGGACGAGAACTGCTGCCTGACGGGATCCAAGGACGCTGACACTGGCTGCTGCAAAGACTTCATCTACGAAGCTGTCTTTGACTACCGCGCCGGCTATCAAACTTGCTCACCGAGTGGCCGCAGGCAGTACTATTGCCCGTCGAACCGTGATTGCTGTGTTGTGGCTGCCACCAGCGGCAGTAACCAAACAGGCTGCTGTATATCAAAGACAGCAGTTGATGAGGCCAGCACAGGAAATGGTCAATTCGGAGAATACGATGATACGCCCAAGACACCCCAGGCGCCGAGTTCTTATAACAGTCGGACTAGTACTCACAGGTATGCCGCTATGTCCTAGCATGCACACTGTGCGTGCGTGTGTGTCACGGTGTGTGTATGTGTGTGTGTGTGTATGTGTGTGTGGTGTAGTGTAGACAAGGTTGAATAGCGGTGGCCAATTCTTCAGCCTTGCAAGCTGTTGAATGGTGCAATCCCAGCACAAGCTGCTATGGCTTCTGCTGTGGCATCGCTATAATTGCCTCCGGCGATGGGCGTCAAATGGTCGAAATGGTGTGTGTGTGTGTGTGTGTGTGTGTGTGTGTGTGTGTTAGTGTGTGCGTGTGTGTGTGTGTGTGTGTGCAACGCAGCTATGCTGCAGTAGCTTATCCTTGTCCAGTGCGCAATTAATCCGGTGGAAGTGCTAAGCCTAATAGGCCATCATCATATACTCCTCACTAGAGTCTACCCTCGTACCTCGCTCTTCCTGCTCTCTAGAGTCTACCCTCGTACCTCGCTCTTCCTGCTCTCTAGAGTCTACCCTCGTACCTCGCTCTTCCTGCTCTCTAGAGTCTACCCTCGTACCTCGCTCTTCCTGCTCTCTAGAGTCTACCCTCGTACCTCGCTCTTCCTGCTCTCTAGAGTCTACCCTCGTACCTCGCTCTTCCTGCTCTCTAGAGTCTACCCTCGTACCTCGCTCTTCCTGCTCTCTAGAGTCTACCCTCGTACCTCGCTCTTCCTGCTCTCTAGAGTCTACCCTCGTACCTCGCTCTTCCTGCTCTCTAGAGTCTACCCTCGTACCTCGCTCTTCCTCCTCACTAGAGACTACTGTGCTAGCTGGATATCTGGGCGGCCAGGCAGAGTGTGTGCTAGCTGGATATCTGGGCGGCCAGGCAGAGTGTGTGTCCGGAAAACAACCTGACAAGATGCATTGACTAGGAATGCATCCTCCTGTGATACTGAACTTGGGCATAGGCCTATACTATAGGGTGATGCATGATCACCCTTGTAGTCAGCCTGGGGCCATGCCACCCTTCAGGAGCCAGCTCCTGGCCTCATTGTCAGACAATGCAAGTTTCAAGGCAGGTTGCGGGCGGGGAAAGCGTGAGCTGCAGTGTGTGTGCAGTGTGGGGAGGAACCAACTTCCTAGTACAGTGGGTATTGGTTATAGCGTGGCCGGTGTTTGAAAACAACTTTCTATTCTTATTTCCGATATTTCCTACACGTGATAAATCAAGTGTGACATACATGTACATGTATCATATGCATATGCGCAGAGGTAGGAAGGCCATCATACATGTACATGCAACGTATCGCTGCTGTTTATGCGGGTGTTCATACTCTTAGTCCCATAACCGTACCATGTGGCTATCCAGCATGAGTTACATGGCAACAACAGTTGAACCTGCAGCACTATGACGCAATGCGAGTCGGATCAGAACTGCATTGGACAGATGCTGTTACTACAGGCGATATTATTTCCTACTAATCCTTCATGTTTTGCTACACAAAGTTCATTCTTAGGACCGATATATTCTACTATGCAATAACATTGCTTGTAAGAATAAATGTTCACTTGAAACCCATGTTATGATTATGAAAATATGAGAGTTCATTCTTGTAGGCAGGATATTCTTTTACACGGCCACACTATAACCGATATGGACAGTGCAAGTTTCATGCATATTACTTGCCTTGCTGTATTTCAGTGTGATTGATGTGAACTTTCTCTGTGCTTGTCTTCTTCTTCTGCTACAGCTCTGGTCCAAGCAAAGTCACCATCATTGTTATCGTTGTACTTGCTGTCATCATCATCCTTTCCGGACTCCTTGGATACGGCGTGAATGCCAGTCGCCGACGTGGCTCGCAAGGCCGCACAGGTCAGCACACGCGCCAGGTCGCGGCACACGGCCTCGGCCGCAGCAGCAGTGGCTCGCAGGAGCAGGTCGCCTTCCTCGCCCCACCGTCGTACTGGGAGAGCCCAGACGGTCAGGATGCCGTCCCGGAGAACTCGGCCGCCGGATCTCCCGTTCCGACCATTGTCTCCCTGAATGGCGCCCCCAGTGAGCAGTGTTGTGGCGGCGGCATGCAGCAGGCGTGTGTCCAGCTGGCTTCTCGTCACACACTACCGCAGTACTCGCCGGTGCCGCAGGGCAACGAGACTGTTGTCGTGATCGGCGACGGAGATCCGCCGAAAGACGACGAGTCCAAGTGCAAGTCGCCAGAAGTTGTGATCGAGGGTCTGTAGCCATACCAATGCCAATGACTTAGTACTGTACATACTCCTACATTATTGTACAAGACCATGCATAGCACAATGTTTAGCCAAGCATGCTGTAACTCTAGTTGAACATCATCTCCATTTTCAATCAACCGGGTCACAATATTTTACCGACCTCATTGGATTCATCATTCTATATTTGAGAACTGGTAGTGGACGCAATGTTAGGATCCACCAGGTGCATGCATGGTGCTGTGTTTGCTTTAATTCTTTTTGTCGTAAATTATTTTCGCCAACTAACACTCCATGGTCTGTGAAATCGGATTTGCCAATTAATTTGACCCGACCCATGTCTGCCTGCTACAAGTTTACACGAATTAATAATTGTAATGCTTACTGTCACGATAGCGTATCTCAGATGCATGTGCATCAGGCTTGATTCCTCTCCGGCTCTGTGTTGGTCCGACTGGGTGGCAACTCACATCACCAACTACACAAGGTGTTTACCGAATGACACTTCATGTGCCGATGGCGGCTCCATCACTTTGCCTAGTAACTTGCCATTCCGACCTACCGGCTAGGATGGTCTGGCCACTTGGGTACACGCTGCAGTGCAGGGTGGGACTGTGCTCGGTTATTAGAGAGGTTTCCCACAACGTAAAGTTGAGCAACTTTACGTAAGTGGGTGGGGAAAACCCGTGAATTCGCGAGTTTGCACTCCACTTATACGGAAAGTTGTCTACATAGAGTACCACTTTCCGTAGATCGACTGAGCTTAATAATATTATTACTATACATGTACTATACGTTGTGCGGAACCTCTCAATAGCAATTTCACGCACAAAATGAATTGCTCTTGTTACACAATACTTATTATAGTGACCGTAACATGTGCAGGCCGTTTGCAGCAATTCTGTCTAGCTATAGTAGGCTACTCATTATGTGTGTGGTGCTAGGGCCATGTAGTGTGCGCGCCCCCCCCCCCCCACCCCGCAGTTTTATTCACTCAGTGAGCTGGTCGTATTTCTCTGGCGACGACTGTACGATAAATCATGAAGTTATGGTTATAGCTAATATCCAGACTGTGATGTCTCTGCAGTGTGCCGGGCGTCTCAGTAATCGAGTCTTCTCTGTAAATTAATTTCCCCCATTCTTGCTAGTATCATAATAACACTGTCGGAGGGGTTATCAGTTATCACCGCCCGGGTAACTCCAACTCCGGCTTCTAATCTCAGTTCCGGCGATGAATACTTTCATACTGCACAGTGAGCTGTTTAGTCAAATAATAATAATAATAATTATTATTATGATTGACCTCAGGCTGTATGTATAGGCCTCAGTAACAAGCAGGGACTGGTAGTAAAATGGTATCAAGTAACTTCTTTCTTTCTTCTCATGCAGTCTTGTTTCTTATACATGTACAATGTATCTCTACTACTTTTCTTTTGTTGATTTGACCGTGGTTGGCTATCACCCCTCTCTCATTCAATATTGGCATTGCTTGCCACGAGGTGATGATGCAATAATAATAATAACTTAGTTACTTGACTCCCTGGTCAAGTACTCTAATTTCAGAAAATTTAGGTGCTCAAAATTTTAGGTATGAGAGCGGGAAAGGCTAGTTATGGTTAGGTGAACAGAAATTTTAGGTGCAGAGAAGCAGTTCCCTATTGCATTATGATTGTATGCTAGTTTTGTTCTGTTATTGAAATTTTAGGTATGAAACAGATGCCGCTGACCGAAAGTACCGAAAATAAAAGTACACCGAACATTTGTGAAATTACAGTAACCGACTCTTGTCCTTGCCGGGCCCAGTACACATGGGTCACAGGTACAATTTATTTATATATTTTATATTTTTTATGCGCAGTACAGTCTGTATCGGCTATATAGTGACCGGATATAAGAATATACCGGCTACAGTGATATTGAAGTTGAAGACACCACTGCAGCTGTACTTATGGTTGATAAATATGGTGGTAAAGACACACCTGGCAATATGGCGGTAAACACACGCCTGCCCACACACGCTCTCTAAGCTGCAATACTAGGCGCCAGGCGCGAACTGATGGTGGTGGTGGTGAGAAGGAGAGCTCTGTGCTAGAACTTTGCAGCTTAGAGAGCGTGTGTGGGCAGGCGTGTGTTTACCGCCATATTGCCAGGTGTGTCTTTACAGTGATATTGGTACGAAATATCAAAAGCATAACGTATTTTATCCAGTACAAATATCACTATAACCAATATTATCGGATGTAATGATATATCGGATATTATGATGGCAACAAAGAATCAAAACATGCATAACACACTATATTATTATCGGCTATAGTGATAACTTTAAAATACATGTTGCAATAATATCAAAGGCCCTATTTTTTTACTTTCTTCACGTTGCTTATTTTTATAGTGATACATGTACATGTACATAACAGATTTTTTTATGGAAATGCGGGCACTGTCAACTATGCAGCATGCTCATTTGTCAAAACGCCATGCTGAAAGCATTTCCTTGCCTTTCATGTGTCTATCGAAAAAAGAAAAAAATCGATCGTATCGCATATAGTGATGCATCGGTTATAGTGATAAAATCACGGAAATCAAAAGGGTACGCTATAGCCGATACAGACTGTATAGTACAGTATTTTTACGTTCCCAGCAACTTTTTTAACAGTCTGATACAAAACTCGCACAAAGAAGAAGCTAAACACTAATCACTAATCACAGGTACAATACTGTCATGTAAAGTACAGTAGATTCTACATGGTATTATGATTATAACCCAATACTGGTTATCTAGATTCTACATGTATCAGCAGGGAGTTGAACAAGGTTTGTCCGACTCCCTGAGCGGTATCGTGAAATGGCAATGCCAATAACTGCTTTGGGCGTCTTGAAGCTGTTGGGCTTGTTTTGATAATGGCGTTTGCCAACTGTCTGCATTTTAGTTTCGAACACATACAGTTAACTTCGCTTATACCGACACTCGGCGGGGCATAAGAAAAGTGTCGTTATTCACAAAGTGTCGTTATACCCGAAGTCTCATTATTATTATTATGTATTACAGTTGGATGGGACTTTGCTCTGGGAATATACATTCTGTCGTTATTCGCGAATTGTCGTTATATCCGCAGTCGTTATTAGCGAAGTTGGCTGTACGTGATATCAGTACAGGTACTACTAGTTGTATTGCGTGCACGCACTATCTGCTAGCCTATTACCATGATTACATGCTTGTCCCACAAAATAAAAACAACGGAAGCTGCGCGCATGTACATGCACGATATATGCACGCATACCTGTACCGGTACGTGACGGGGCGTTCGTTTTCGATCTACAGGTTTGGGTAGAAACTACTTCTTACGGTAGAGGTGTTCGTTTTTTGAAAAAAAATTCTACTCAAAAGGGTAGATTCTACTTTCCTCTACCGGCTCTACCGGGAAAAAGTTGGTAGAATCAGGGAGTAGTAAAATACAGGGAGGTGACACGAGCATGTACGGCCAGTTTGACGATTGCCTCAGCACCGTTTTCACCCGGCGGGTGAGATTGGGGTACTATGGGTACCGAAGTGTGTAGACACGCGCGCGGATCAGGATTCTCTCGATCAGGGAGTAGTAAAATACCTACCGCCAAAGAGACTCCTACTGCAGCCCGTAGAAACTCAGCGCTGAGAATTTCCAACAATTGTCTGCCTTCACAAAGTTTGGTAGTCGACCAAACTACCACTATGTCAGGATAGAAGTCCAGCAAGAGTGGTATCACTTTGCGAGATATCCCTGCGTGCCGTAGATTTTTTCTGTGTCGATACAAGCTGTTTACGACGACGTAGCCCGCATTTCAATCCTTGACAAACTTAGGAACATTTCATTCCGAAAAGTGAACTCCCGAATCTCTAGCATACCATAATATGAAATGCTCATCATCACAAAGAAGGTAGAGAAGTACTGGTTGATCACAACTGAGGAGAAATTAGGGGCGATCGTGTGGTGTCCTAGAGATTTTTTCGACTTCAAAATCTGTGCACTCGCTTTTCATCTCCAATCGTACACGTATTGTTCTCAAGGAAATCACCTTCCTTCTATTGCTCCATGCCGTCGATCGGGACGATTTTCGGAAGGGTGGTACCTTTCCATATGACGATGACACAGATGTATCACAAGAGCAAAACAAATGCTGTTCCATGAGATGGATAGACCTTTTCACGGAATTAGTTCTTCGACAAATACTCAAGATTGATTCAGCAGATCATCTTTTTTTGCGAAAGAAAAAAAAACAAGCGCGAGGCACCCATCAAAAATCACGATTAGTGGCGTGTCACCTCCCTGTATTTTACTACTCCCTGGTAGAATCCGGTAGAAGTTGGTAGAGCTAGCTAGAGCTACGGGATTTCCAGCAAGATCAAGGATTTGTACACAACTCCATAAAAAAAAGAAACATTTCACGTACACATCGTGGTAACTACTAGATCTGATAGAACAGCGTTCGTACACTTGCCTCTACCATCTACCTCTTTTGGTAGAGTGACTCTACTCTACTCTACCAGGTAGCTAAAAACGAACGCAGCCCTAGTACGTGTCTGTGTTGTGCGCGTTCTGTCGATTTGGAAAATCGATCGATTTTCTTGCGCGATCTGTCGATCGACAGATCGCGCAAGGATCGATCGATCGGAAAGCGGTGGCGAAACCATTCAAAACAAATCGATCGATTTGGAGCAGCTCCGAAACGTCGTACAGTGTATGTTTAGGACTTTGGTGAACAGCTTTTCAAATGGAAGAAACCAGTTACGGTACCTTTTCTGAGTGCAATCTTCTTCCCCAAATAATTCAAAAATCAGTTCCTTCCGAAAATTCCATCGTGCTGGACCTCGAAGCTGAACGTCATAAGCAAATAGTCAAGCCGTGTGTCGTCTGGATATGCAGTTGTTTGTCATAGCCAACATTCTTCTGGTCCGTTCGTCCTGCCATTTTCCTGACGATCGCAATGAATACGAGCAGCTCTCATGCTCAGGTTAGTGTTTATTGATCTGTCTCTGCACCCACTGCAAGGTATAATTTTTGTGATGCAGCCACTAGCCCATTGTGGAAGTAAGGGAATCACCCAGGTTCTTCGGATTCTCGTCCTGTCCGAAAAATCTCCACGTTTCAACTTCTCATCTTCCCCTCAGGCATGAGCTTGCATATTCATATTTTGTGTTTGCTTTGACAGTGCATTTCATAGGTATCGTTCAGACTTTTAGGGCCCTGTAAAATTGGTGTTTTCCTTCCCGACAGTGATAATGATCGCAATCTATAAAATACATGCGCAGTCATTCTATAGTGTGATAAAACACAAGTGTAACTGTAAGAAAAGAGAAAGAGAGAGGGTGAATAAAACAAACATATGTGCAAAATACAGTTACGGTGCTAAGGAAAGAATGTGGATGCCGTGACATGTTCTTTCTGA